ACTTGTACAATGATTTAGCACCATTTCAACCTGTATTTCTTATCAAAGTCAAATTAACTCTTTCTATATATTTAACTGTTTTGCGTGTTTCTTTCTCCTTCCGCTTCTCATATATGCTTTATATCCCTACATGCAATAATAGACATGATAAATTTTCGAGCGCATAATATGCAACGTTTATATACGTCTATATACATTTGCAATTCATACATTTTTATTCTTTCCGATAGAAAGCGACCAAACTGTCATGATCGAAGACGAAGCATTGAGTGTTGACACTTGAACAAAACGTGTTTGATATAAATGGCACGATGCACGTCATTCATGATAAATTGCCAGTTGTCGCGTCTTCTTTGAGAACCGACGTCGTTGAAACCCGTCACGATGGTGCGAAACCCTGCGCAAGTGACTTGGTAGGCCTTGGTCGAATTATGGGACGCGCACATTGAAAATCCATGACGGGACGAGTAAACAGACGGATGGTAGGGGAGAGAAGGAGAGTTGTGCCGAACATGTGCGCGGAACTGGCCGATTGACCCGTGGCTAAAGACACGGGTAGTCCGTTATGCCCTAAGGTCACGCGTGACGCAATCGACCATTATAACGTACAGTTCTACACTCATGACTCAATGCTCCTATTCCGCGGGTTCCCTACCTCGTAACCCCCTATGGTCCCCACCGTCTGTCAATCGAATCATCGAACTCCACATTCGTTGAATACTCCGAACAGGTTTATCGCCGCCGGCGATTCGCCATCCTCCATGCCGTGTTGCCCTCGGCTGCCGTGCCACCGGAAATAACTCTTTCGACGATCGCTCCATTTGTCCGATTGGATAATCGAACGATCGAGCCCATACGCCGCATTTCTCGGCGCAGTGCGATTTCTGTCGAGCTTGACACACTTAGATTTCCCATTGAGCGCGTGAGAAACGAATACCGTTGTATGGCCGTTTTTTCGATAAATGTATAAAAATTAGCTGAAATGCTATTTCTATATACATCAGAACGATCAATGGGACTAAAAATAAAATTTGCGGACGAGCTTTCGATATGATAATGTAGTCTCATTAAATAGCCTCGTTGAATCAAGGGTGACATAAGTAATTAATGATTTAAAAAGAAACAAATATTTTCTATCGTATCATTATATATATTTAATTTCATAAGAATTTAACAACTTTCTATATCGTCATCATCTTTTATTTTTTCAAACTTAAAACTAAAAATTCTTTATAATATCTTTTAAAAGTCCAAAACGTAAGGATCGCATCTATTGTCAACAATTATTGGTGTTTTTATAGCTGGCTCGAGCCGAAGAAGTCGAGGTTGTAGAAGCGATTCCGGGGGAAGATAATCGGAACGAGAATTCAGCATTGAATCATCAAGATAACGAATTAATTAATTCCGATCAATTAGCTTTGGATTCCATAGCGGATAAGGATGCGGGAGGAAACCATTATAAATCGGGTGGCCTCCGAGGTCATCCTTTATTACCACCGGGTCGAGGTGCATTGAGTTTACCGCGTCCGCATCATAATGTCGCTTATCATGGCCCACCGCCGCCATTGCCGCCTTCTAAAGCGCAATCGGAAGCTATGGATAAGATCTATACCACGGGCGGTGGAGTTAGTACCGCGATTGGCGTCGAACCTTGGCCAGCGCCAACGCCTGATATGCCGAAGATCGTGTCGCTGGACGTGAAATGTGAAAAAAGTCTGATGAAGGTCTATCTGGGTTTTGATAAGCCATTCTATGGCATAGTCTTTAGTAAAGGCCACTACAGCAATATTAATTGTGTACACCTGCCTGCGGGACTTGGTCACACGTCCGTCAACTTCGACATCAGCATACATGCGTGTGGTACGGCCGGCAATACGGAAAATGGATTATATGGTTACGGCGCCGAATCTGGATCCGGGACGTTTTTCGAAAACATCATAGTGGTGCAATATGATCCTCAAGTGCAAGAAGTTTGGGATCAGGCGCGTAAACTGCGCTGCACTTGGCACGATCTGTATGAGAAATCGGTCACCTTCCGTCCATTTCCTGTGGATATGCTGGATGTAGTTCGCGCGGATTTCGCTGGTGATAATGTCGGATGCTGGATGCAGATACAAGTTGGCAAGGGACCATGGGCTTCTGAGGTTTCGGGACTTGTCAAGATCGGTCAGACTATGACGATGGTACTCGCGATTAAGGATGACGATTCTAAGTTCGATATGCTCGTGAGAAATTGCATGGCTCACGATGGCAAACGCGCGCCAATACAACTAGTGGATCAGCGAGGCTGTATCACACGACCTAAATTGATGTCTAGATTCACAAAAATCAAGAATTTCGGCGCTTCGGCGTCAGTGCTGTCGTACGCTCATTTCCAGGCATTCAAGTTTCCAGACTCCATGGAAGTTCACTTTCAGTGTACCATACAGATATGCCGATATCAATGCCCGGAACAGTGTTCGGAATCGTCATCGCTTTTGGAGAGTCAGGGTCTTCTAGAGAATCACCATCATCATTCTCCGACGAATGAACATCCTGACGTCGGATACGGTCTTCCGCCTCCGATTCCGCTGCCGTTAGAGGCCTATTTACAGGCAGCGGCTGGACGGCCCCGAGATGAAAGGAGAAGAAAATCCCGAGAAATAGTGCACAATCCGCAAAAGGCCGTTGGTGTGAATCGAATTATTCGAGTTGTCTCGACCGGTGACCTTACCTTTTCCATCGATGAGAACAACAACAGCGAACTGAATGGACCAACGATGGTGTTCCCGCAACGTCATGAAAACACATCCAGCTCGACCATGATCTGCATGACCACTCCTGGATTTGCGATTACTCTCATCGTGCTACTCGCCGTTCTACTTTCCTCGTGTGTGTTGTCCGCTTATCTCTTTATGCGTCTCAGGCCCTTCTCGGCGAGGACCAGGAAATCCACGACGTTTTCTAATGTTGAACAGAATGGCGCGACGAAGAAATCTTCGAGAACATGCTTCTACTCATAGAAATATTTGTCTACGAGTCATCTCGAATTTTGGTGATTTCGATATCTCAATTCTGGAAGAGGGACCGAATTTCATGGTCCTCTTCTTCAAAACCGGTTTACATGGTTTTCTGCGATATCGTTGAAACGTCGTTGGAGGTCAGTACTTCCGTAAGACGAATGCGATTGTGCAGAGAAAAAGAAATTAGTCTTAGCGAATATAACTTTGTCAAGACAAAAAATTAGCGGTAAACGGGTGGAAATCATTTGTACTATTTTAAATATCTTTGGCCATTAACTGACAGTATTTTTTTGTATGTATATTATGTGTATTCAGAATTTTGAGCGAATCATGCACATATATAGCGGAACATTTTTTACCAGAAGGCCAGGAGGAGAATTTATGTAGACTGGTCTTCGAAATTGCGAATCTTCAGGTTTCATAGAGGCTATCGAGTGTCGCAAGCACGACTCTATATAAAGGCTACGTTTTCTTAACGTGATAGTATCAGCGGCATTATTTTACAATAAATTGTAGTACTCGTGTCGTTTAATGCGTATTATGGTCTCTATAGAGTTGTGCTTCGTCATAATGAAACTTAAGCTCAGGCCTTTATAGGCAAAAATATAGGCGATACGCCGAAGATTTAGTCAAAGATAATCAAACCTGTTTCTGCGTTTATTATTTATCAATCGATGTATTTATATTTTGTAATTTTTTTCTCTATTTTTATTTCTTTTTTTGGTATTTGGGATTCTCTTAACAATAGTTGCTCAACATGCGATTAGGTAATAATAAAGTTGAAATTTCGCAAAAATAGTTTACAATATAGTGTTTAAGCAATATTAACATGTTATTATTAATAATATTATTTATATTTATTATCTACTTACCTAAATTTTCTAAAGATAAGTAGAATCCTATAGAAAATTTTATATGAAGTAAACAAATAAAATAAAATTACAAAATGTGAAAGTATGATTATTCTATTACAATCAATAAATTAAAAGTAACAAATAAATAAAAATATTAACAAAAAAATATATTATACCAAAATGAGAAATTTTTAATTATACAGAAGTATAGTTAATTGTTGAAAGTTTATTTTGATAGCTTTTTTTAAGTTGCGAAAATCTAAAGTGCCAAAATATTATATTATGATATTATGTAAAACAGCAAATAATAAATTTACGTAGTCTGGTTACGAAATGAAGTTCGCTTTGTTTCACGTGTGCTGTATGAATGTTAAGTAACTCTCAAAAAGGTATGAATGATAACGTTATCATAATGTTAAGGTTTTCATTTGTCGTAGTATTGTTATTATGATCAATGTAATATTGCTAAGAAAATTTGTTGAAAATTTGTGAAAAGTTAAGTAAAAAAAATGAGACAATTCAATAAGTTATGTAAAATCGTGTGTGCAGTCATTAGTTTATATTTGCAGCGTGATCTATTTAGTGTATAAGGTATAGTAATATGCAAGGTATCCAAAAAAGTTGTAAACCATTCAATTACTCTCACTATATAAATCTCTATTTAGTTACTTTATTAATCAAAGGCAGTTGATGTATTTTTGTATACAGAATAAATTATAATTGGGAATTAAAAAATCCTATATTCACAAGGTGCTGTAAATATATTTATTTATTGCCATTATTATTTATTTATATTTATATATATTACACATATATAT